TGTGCACATACACACACATATGCATCTATATGTATATTTATATATAGATGTGCTTTGTGGAAGCGTGTGCGGGGCGCTGCGTCTACGTGCAGCGCGGCGCTGCGTGCATGGAGTGCTGCATGCGTGTGCGGTGCTGGGTGTGCACGGCTGCTGTGGGGTGAATGCAGCGTTGCACGGGGTAAAGGGCTTTGCGTGAGCGTGTGCGTGTGCAGAGCGTTGCTCTGCTGGGGACAGCAGCACGCGCTCTGTGCTGGGCTGTGCAGGAGTGGGGACGGAGGGCTGGGGGTTGTGTGAGTGTGTGTGCGGAGTGTATGGGTGTTGTGCACGCGTGTGCTGGGTGTTACACATGGCCTGGATTTTGCACACATAGCTGGGCATTGCACACATGTGCTGGGTGTTGCACACGCGTGTGCTGGGTGTTGCACACTCAATGTGCTGGGTGTTGCACACACAGCTGGGTATTGCACACACATGTCCTGGATGTTGCACACATAGTTGGGTGTTGCACACGTGTTCTGGGTGTTGCACACTCAATGTGCTGGGTGTTGCACACACAGCTGGGTATTGCACACACATGTCCTGGATGTTGCACACATAGCTGGGTGTTGCACACACGCGTGCTGGGTGTTGCACACATAGCTGGGTGTTGCGCAAAGGTGTGCTGGGTGTTGCACACACGTCCTGCATGTTGCACACATAGCGGTTTGCACACGCGGGTGCTGTGGTTTGCACACATAGCTGGGTGTTGCGCAAACGTGTGCTGGGTATTGCACACACATGTCCTGGATGTTGCACACATAGCTGGGTGTTGCACACACGCGTGCTGGATATTGCACACGCATGTGCTGGGTGTTGCATGCATAGCTGGGTGTTGCACATGTGTTCTGGGTGTTGCACACACCTAGCTGAGTGTTGCATACACGTGTTCTGGGTGTTGCACACACCATGTGCTGGGCGTTGCACACCTACTGGGTGTTGCACATGCATGTTCTGGGTGTTGCACACACAATGTGCTGGGTGTTGCACACGTACTGGATGTTGCACACGCATGTTCTGGGTGTTGCACACACATAGCTGGGCATTGCACACGTAGCGGGGACGGCACCCACTGCTGCTCCTGTGCTGCCCACGGCCTGCCCGCCCCGTCCCCCTTCCAGCCATGCGCTCGCCCGTGCCAGGCCCTGCACATCTGCCCTTGAGCGCACAGCTGTGACACGGGGCGCCGGGCTGGCGGGGCCGCGTGTCGCTAGATGGCAGCATGGCCACGCGGACGGGGTGGCAGTGCCACCGCTGTCCCCATCCCCGCGGGCAGAGCCGGGGCAGGGGCGGGCGGCCCTGGGCCAGGGCTCGCAGTGGCCCCATGGCAGTGGGGAGACCACGGGCAGACCCCGAATGGAGGAGGCCGATGGTTGTGTGTGTTGTGGGGAGCCCTGTAAGAGGGAGCAGGCGGATGGTGGCACTTTGGGGACAGCGGAGGGCCCCAAGGCCCAACATGGAGAATGGCGGGGGCTGGGCAGGCCTTGGCAGTCCCCGTGCGGCCCGGCTGCTCGCACTTCAGTTCCCCGTGGAGGTGGGGACACGGGGGCTGGGGGCGAGGGTCCCTCCGGGGGCGGCCACGGGCACCTCCACGGCCCGCTTCCGGCACCACACAGC